ATCATGTTTAATTTGGACTTCTCAGTGCATGCTCTTTGAGGTGGAAAGACCATAGACCTGCATTATATGACTGACAGACAAGAACGGTTTGACCTAAAAAATATCAAAATTGAAACTACTGCGGAAACAAAGACACCTACATCTTGGATGCCCTTGAGGTAAGCTAAAACATACCAAAAATTATTTCAAAGTGAACTATCCCTTTAAATATACCTACCTTTTCCGTTTTGTATGAATTGTTGTTGTGTTTTCTGAATTGTTATTTTGTTTTTTGAATTGTTATTTTGTTTTTGTAATTGTGATTTGTTTTGCACCTCTCGGCCACCGTACTCAAATCAAATCACAAAAATAAATTGCCTTTTGAAAAGGTAAAACAAAGCAAGGGATCATCATGATTGGAGCAACATGCCCTTGATCAGTGAGTTTTGCTTGAGCAAAGTTATATTAGCTATTCTAGAAAATTGTTTGAATAGAATGATTTAAAGACAAAACAAAGTTGTAAAACGTATGGACACTGATGACAAACTAAATATGCAAGATAACACAAAGACAAACGTGTAAGAGAAAGCAAGACTTATTGAATGTTTTTATTTTATTTTATTTTTTAGTATGGACGAGGAAGAGCTGGCGGAACAAGGAGAAGAAAAAAGTGGGTCTTTGGTATCTTGGCCATTAAGGGTGTTAGAAGACGACCAACAGCGCTCAAGAGATCACCTGATTCCAGTTATAACAAGATATGTTCGCGAGGGATCAACCATTTTGAGTCACGAATGGAGACCCTACAGGAGAGCTTTGACCACACTTGGCTACACTCACGACACTGTGAATCATAGCAGGTCGTTTGTAGACCCAATTCATGGAGGCCACACCCAGACTATAGAAAGAGCATGGTCAACATATAAAAGCCAGATTTGGAGGTTGAGAGGCAATAGGACAGAAAAGCTGTTAAAGGAACACTTGACCTGCATTTAGTGGACATACTGGCTTGGACACAACCACAGGGATGGTCCTCTAGGTCTAGGACGTTTGCTAAAAGATATTAGAAGACAATACATAGTTTAATATTTTGGAGTATACAGTACTAAAAAATAAATTCCTTGTACCTGTGTGTGGGTGAGCATATGTGTGGTTGATGTATATGTGCATGTCTCTGTTTCATAACTGTGCCAAATTTTAGGTTTAATTCAGATATCATATTTTACACAGTGCTTTATTCTTGCATGCCCAGTTGTGCATTTTTGCATTATGTAGGATTTTCTTTTATGATTTTGTGGAAATGTTTCAGTGCTTATAATAAAATAAACGATTGAGTAGTTAGTGAGGAGTTAACATGTTTTTCACTTTAGTATAATGGACCACATCACTAGTAGTTCCTGCGGGATGACAAGGTAACGCTTGAGTAGTTAGTGAGGAGTTAACATGTTTTTCACTTAAGAGTAATGGACCACATCACTAGTAGTTCCTGCGTGATGACAAGGTAACGCTTGAGTAGTTAGTGAGGAGTTAACATGTTTTTCACAAATAATACAAGTTATTTTCATATTATATTTGACACATACTGTACAGGTTCTGTGAGGCACTAATATTCTAACAAACACATCTGGAAGATGTGGTTTTGCGCTTATCGCAACATAAATGCAGCCAATATATTCATTAAAGATGCAAATTGTTTTTGACAAGAGAACATCAATGTTTATATTCATATCCTAAAGAGAAGTCATCCTCAGGCAGCTACTGTAACATAAAGGTAAGTCTTTGGAGTCTGAAATACACTCACCGGCCACTTTATTAGGTACACCTGTCCAACTGCTCGTTAACACTTAATTTCTAAGCAGCCAATCACATGGCGGCAACTCAGTGCATTTAGGCATGTAGACATGGTCAAGACAATCTCCTGCAGTTCAAACCGAGCATCAGTATGGGGAAGAAAGTTGATTTGAGTGACTTTGAACGTGGCATGATTGTTGGTGCCAGAAGGGCTGGTCTGAGTATTTCAGAAACTGCTAATCTACTGGGATTTTCACGCACAACCATCTCTAGGGTTTACAGAGAATGGTCCGAAAAAGAAAAAACATCCAGTGAGCGGCAGTTCTGTGGGCGGAAATGCCTTGTTGATGCCAGAGGTCAGAGGAGAATGGCCAGACTGGTTCGAGCTGATAGAAGGGCAACAGTGACTGAAATAACCACTCGTTACAACCGAGTTATGCAGCAAAGCATTTGTGAAGCCACAACACGCACAACCTTGAGGCGGATGGGCTACAACAGCAGAAGACTCCACCGGGTACCACTCATCTCCACTACAAATAGGAAAAAGAGGCTACAATTTGCAAGAGCTCACCAAAATTGAACAGTTGAAGACTGGAAAAATGTTGCCTGGTCTGATGAGTCTCGATTTCTGTTGAGACATTCAGATGTTAGAGTCAGAATTTGGCGTAAACAGAATGAGAACATGGAACCATCATGCCTTGTTACCACTGTGCAGGCTGGTGGTGGTGGTGTAATGGTGTGGGGGATGTTTTCCTGGCACACTTTAGGCCCCTTAGTGCCAATTGGGCATCGTTTAAATGCCACGGCCTACCTGAGCATTGTTTCTGACCATGTCCATCCCTTTATGGCCACCATGTACCCATCCTCTGATGGCTACTTCCACCATGTCACAAAGCTCTAATCATTTCAAATTGGTTTCTTGAACATGACAATGAGTTCACTGTACTAAAATGGCCTCCACAGTCACCAGATCTCAACCCAATAGAGCATCTTTGGGATGTGGTGGAACGGGAGATTCGCATCATGGATGTGCAGCCGACAAATCTGCGGCAACTGTGTGATGCCATCATGTCAATATGGACCAAACTCCCTGAGGAATGCTTCCAGCACCTTGTTGAATCTATGCCACGAAGAATTGAGGCAGTTCTGAAGGCAAAAGGGGGTCCAACCCGTTACTAGCATGGGGTACCTAATAAAGTGGCCGGTGAGTGTATATTGAACTGACACTCAATAGAGCTCATAATAGTGAACTAATCCAATCATGAGAGTGTCAGCATCACTTCCTAACTATTTAAGATAAAAAAAAAAAAACTATCATTATTAGTATTATTCTGTTTAAGTTTGAAATAAACAGAGAACATACGTCCATCCTTTGGCAAGAGTAGTAGTCACAATCTCAACCTGTTGCTAATGTATTTGGGGGGATTTAATATTCATAAACTGGTTTCCACAAAGAACCCATTTGAGGCACACGCTTCTGAAATGTTATGACCATGTTAAGAGTAAAACCCCCACAATTGTTCACTTTTTAGACATGTTACTTTTGTGATTAGTACTTAATTGGTTATTATATCTTAGTTCACAAGTAGTTCTCAATGAGGATATATTTCTTTAGTAATAATCAAATACCTACCAAAGAACTACCTTTGTACTAAATTACCTATTACTTACTGCTTAGTTAATATTGCTTCCATATTAGTTAATAGTATTAAGTTCGGTGTTAATGCAGTACTACCTATTACTTCCTGCATAGCTACTTGTTAACTACGGACCATTATTCTAAAGTGTTACCGAAAACAGTTACTTTGGCTGTAGGATCATAGGATTTGCCAAAGTTTCCATTTGTTAACATTAGTTAAATACATAGTTAACATGACCTAACAATGAAAAATACTTGTAAAGCATTTTAGGAATCTTAGTTAGTGTTTTTTCAACATACATGATTAAAATCTAAAATTGTATCTATTAATATTATTTAATGGATCTGAGCTAATATCAACAACAGTTCAATTGAATAAATATTACCGTGAATAAACACTGTAACAATATTGCTCATTGTTAGTTAAAGTCAGTTAATGCATTACTTTATTGTAAAGTGTTACTGAATATAAAATAATAATAATACAAATAAAATGTAATTTATTGCTATGATGGCAAAGCTAAGTTTTCAGCAGCCATTACTCAAGTTTTCAGTGTCACATGATCCTTCAGAAATCATTCTAATGAGCTGATTGGATCTTATTATACATACAGTATGTAAATACACATCACTTTGGATAAAAGCGCCTGCTAAGTGAATACATGTAAATTTAAAGACCCCCTGTGGTGAAAATCTAATTTTAATGTTGTTTATATGTCCATGTGGTGTTGTAGCACTGGTCAGTCTGTTACTCCACGTTACCTCCCTACGGGCAGGATGTGGCCTCTGTAGCATCCCTTTCCATTTGAATAGGCATGCTTTCCCAGTGTTATCCACTAGTCTTACTTTATGGGTAAGTAGGAAGAGCAGTGATCGACATTCTCCATGTAAGCCCTGTCCTTTTTCCACCCTAACAGGTTTAGGTAGTGGAAGGGTTGTGGCATTTTTCTTATGGATCCCAATACGCCAGTCACCGACATGATGTCGAATGTGACTGACTGATAGGGAACGTCTAGGTTACCTATTGTAACCCCCGTTCCCTGAAGGAGGGAACAGAGACGTTATGTCCCGTCGCCACAATCCCTGTGACCGCCGCTGAAAGACAAGGCACTGGCTCGGCTCCTCAGTGAAAACTTAATGAGTGAGTCCCGCACACTTCCTTCCTTATTATTATCGCTGTGTAGCCTACAAGATCAGGTTCAGTTTCATGCTTATTTTATTTACTATATAAGCTATTCCACCCGAAAGCTTGTTACTATATAAACTTGAACATGTTAATTTATAAGACAGTGTGTAATATTATGTTTTTAAAAAAAGTATTTAATAAGATACTCAATCAAAATAGTAAACACAAGTACAAGCCAAGAATACTTAGAATAGCCTACTTAATTATACTTTTAAGTATATCTCGAACAACAAGTATAGGCCAAATATACTTTTCTGTCAGTATAAGTCAAGTATACTTAAGTGCAATATATTTCTGAGAAGCACATAAAAAGTAGACTGAAAGTATACTTTCTCATTTTTAATTTAAAAGAAGTATACCAATAATAGCACACTTGAATAAACATATTTTTTGTAAGGGTTGTCAGACCTGGCCACAGTGGGACTCTGCCGGACAGCCAGCAGGATCGGCTCTGTGTTGATGAGAAGCGCCCAGCAGGGGAAACAGGCCAACAGGAGGATGAGAATCCCTCTCTGCAGTATCACACCCACCCGCTTCAGATTATTACCCCCAAACGTCTGCAGGACACAATTCACTTCAAATGACATCTGAGCACAAATGACACTTACATTACTGAACATTGACTATCATACCTGAGAGATGAGTGTATCGCATGCAGACGCCAATCCAGATCCGATGGAGATGCCAGACACATTAATAACCTGTGAGCAAAAGGGACGCATTTATAAAGGCGATGGGTGTTTTAATGCACACCACTATAATAAACTTATTTTGTGAACTCACAGCAATAGCCAGAGCCACACCAGCCAGTTCAGTTTTCCCCAAGTGTCCACAGAACACAGTGCTGATGAAGCTGATCAGAAAGATCATCAGCTGAGATATAAACTGCATTAAGAGGAGAAACGTTTTCAGGATCCGTTAGACATTTCCACTTCTTGAGAAATAAAATAGGGTTGAAACTGATCATGTCATGTTCTTCAGATAAAATGGACTAATGAAATATATTATTAACTCATTATGTGATCAAATATCATATGAACAAATTTAGCATTAAACTTTGCGACTTAGATTGCATTTAGATACATTAAATGGCAGATGTATTAAGAACATTCTAATGGTCATGATTCAGTTCCAAATTGAAAATATAGTTTTGCCAAAACTATTAGGGATGAGCACAATGTAATCAAATGTTTTATTTTTTTAACATCGAGGCAAAAAATGAAAAGTTAAAGCTAAAAAAAAATTCAAAGCTAAATAAAATATTCAAAATTGTTTAACACATCCGAATTTATTTTTTGCTCGATTCAAACGATTCAAACTTACCACGGGTCCAGCCAGCTTCCCCTGCTCTACAATTTCTTCTCTATAATTCACTGGTAACAAACTCCGAAGTTTCTTTCGACACCCTCCACAAACAACCTGTGAACTCGACGTTGACTGAGCATCATCAGTTTTCTCCTGTTTTGAGTCTCCGTTTATCTGACTCACTGTGGTAATACTGTCCATTTTCGTTATTCCTGAAGTCTTTAATTCCCACAATGCAGCTTATATTTAGGTACAGTACAGAACTACTTCTGCATAAAAGACATTTCGCTAAAGGTCCATTGCAGTGAGACGTCTGAGTGGATCTCTGTCTGGTTTAGCCCTGCCTGCTGCTGTACTCCACGAGGTCATTACATAAACATAAGTCACTTTGTGCTCAGATGTGTTCGGTTTTTTATTGTTCAAGTAAAATAAATAAAATAAATATCATATTTAATTATATTATATTAAATAATAATAACATAATTATTTTTATTATTATTTCATTATGTTTCATTAGAAAAAAAATACTGAATGCATCTTATGAAATACAGATTTCAAAACAATGAATATCTGTGTAGGCATCAGAAAAACTTTCACTCAGTTAAATCAACTTCAAATCAGTCACACGGTAAACTTCTGTCTGGTCAGATATTAAAAACGGTTACATATTACTCCTGGGCCAGTGTCTGGGACTAAGCTGACAAGTAACGATTTGTAAAATTAGTGAACAATTGAGTAAGTAAATGTAGAAATATGGTAGGTGAAAGTCTAATTTTTGAGGGAGTCATTAAATTGACAGAGAAAATTCTGAGAGGGGGTCAGAATCACACAACATGTAGTCGTTATCCCTAAATGAACAAGTTGATAACAGTCCAGATGGCCTTGCAGTGGCTTTATTTTAAGCAGTCCTATTATGCCATTTTAAGATTTTTTTACGATCTTGATTTTGTTTTTATTTTGTACTAGAATAGGATTTCATGCTTGACTATTAAAAAAAATGCATTGCTGTATTCTAGGTTCATCTGCCTTTAGGAAAGCCAAACAAGGGGTTTTGTAACTGGGGTGGAAAAACAGCGTCTCTTTGACATTACAACTGCACGCTTAACCCTCTGGGGTCTGAGGTGTTTTCGGGGTCCTTGAGATGTTTTGGCATGCTCTGACATTTATGCATTTTTCAGTTGCTTATAAACATATTAATGGCACAGGTGAAATTACACTCTATATAGCACACACAGGGCTACCATTATATGTGAGCAACATGTATGTACATGTTTGTATTTTTGAGAGAATATTGTTTATGCGTGGTTATTGAAAAAACTAAAAAATAAATTTTCTAATATATGGCCACAAATAACATACTAAATATCTGTCCACAAGACTTTTGACTAGTGGATGTTGTCGCCTAGAGTATTTGCTTCAAATTGATCTGAAAATCATTCTGGCTAATCATTCACATAAAACAATAGATTGTTTTAAATTGTGAAAAACATTTTTTTGTTTGCAAAGGCAATATGCGGATGGGCGGATCGGCCCAACCCCCTCATGAATAATTAGGCAGTTCTCACCTGAGCAGACTGCATACTAATGAGCCTTTCATTCAGGGGTGTCACACAAGAAAGAATGCAAGGACAATATATATATATAAATAAATAAATATTTATATACACACACACACACACACACACACACACACACACATATATATATATATATATATATATGTGTGTGTGTGTGTGTGTGTGTGTGTGTGTGTGTATATAAATATTTATTTATTTATATATATATATATATTGTCCTTGCATTCTTTCTTGTGTGACACCCCTGAATGAAAGGCTCATTATATATATATATATATATATATATATATATATATATATATATATATATATATATATATATATATACATATACATATATATATATATATATATATACAAACAATCAAAATATAAATGAAAGCCAAAAGCACATTTTTAGTCACACATTTTAGCCATCCACATACCATTTTTAGCCATCCACCGCGGTAAAAATAAACCAGTCGCATTTCAAAGTCGTACGCGAAATGACCGCCAGGTGGCGCAAAGGGACATTTAGCAAAACGTAAGTGGGGCTAATGTCTATTAACAGTAGCCTAAGGATGAAATACTACAAGTTATGGTAATTTCCAAATAAGCCTACAACAAATTGTTGGTCATACAGATAAGATATAATCTTTTAAAACTGTAAAAGGTTAAAGTAGGCCTACACTCACAGGCTAAAGACAAAACGTTTTCTCGCTCATGTGAGAATCAAACGTTTGGTTATTTCTCAGTAACAAAATTCATAGCCGAGCGGTAGAACTGATGGTTCATCATCAAGATGACACAGGTTCAAATCCCGCACAAACATGGTCTGCTGTATATTTTATATTTATTATTGCAGAGAGATTTGTCTAGCTCTAAAACTCTGTTACACCATACAGTTTTGTTTTATATAGGCTATATATATTTTTTTATTTATTTATTCCAGGCTCTCACGCCACCCCCCCGATTTCTCACGCTGAAGTGTCAACCCGGTCGGTCAAATTCCTGAAAGATATAGTTTATCTATAGATCTACCTGTTGAGCCACTCGTGATCGACTAGTTATACCGTAAATTAGTTAAAATATCCCGTAATCTATCTAGAGCGAGCGTGCATGCGAGACAGATATTGTGCTCCAAACCGTGCGCGCGCATGGCAGAGAGGTCTGTTCCCTACAACCTAGAGTTTTTAAAAACATGGTTTTAAGTAAAGTGTGATTTGCCAGGGGGGACTGGGATTTCCTTCTGGTCTAAACATCCCTACTTCTGCTGAATTATTTTAATCCCCACACCCCTCCCTCCACAGCTAATCAATGCTATAGGCTACTTCACCAATATCAAATATATAAAATAGAGATATGCAACAGGCACGTTTAAACGAAAAACAATAAAATCAAAACCAGCGTTTCAGTTGTTCATTAGTTCCAGTGGCCTTAATGCATGCACGGCTTTTCAAAATTTCACAAAGCGTGTTGAGATTATTTTGAATGAAATATTGAAGTTTATAATTAAGTGTTTTGGCACACCACGCCGAGTGACCCTATGCATTTTTCTAAAGTCGGGTTTTATTCTGGCATCGTGAGTTAGTGTTCGACAAACGCGGCGGCGCGTTCATTTAGATTAATTTATTTATCTCATTATTACAGCTAAAATAACTTAATAGGCGACTCCGTAATTTTTTGGTCATACAGATAAGAGTAGAGTAGCTTACATCGTTCAAAACTGTAAACTTGTATTCATATTAGGCTAACGACAAAAACAGTATATCTGTCCTCTCTGTCTCCGGGAACTGCGCGTCACAAAAATGAACCGAAAGCCACTTCAGCTCAGTCACGATAAGAAATCGGCTATGTCTAAAGCCTTTAAATGTCTAAATATTTAGGCTAATAAATGTTATCTGATTATGTAGGCTAATCCATATGAAAACGAGAGGTACAGAGGATCTACTCAAACATGCGCTTCCCAATGAGAAAATGACAAGACATGGGTGAAAATCTCGCTCTAATTAAATGTAGGCTAAATCGCCCTGAATTAAAATGTAAAAACATAATAATGTATTTGTCGAAATGTTGCGATATTGTTTCATTTAAGTTCATAATTATTCTATAAATGTTATTTAATTTAGCAGCATTACCACGAAGCACCGTGTTTCGATATTTATTTGAATAATACAAAATAAAATAAAAACTTAATTCACAAATTGCATGCCTGGTTGTAAGGATCCAAAGATCCCTGTAGACTTTAATATTAAGTGACAACAAATTCACAAGCGTTTTTTCAGATTATATTTAGTTTTGCTTGGAAAAAGCTGCCCCAAACCAGTTTTATTTCATCAATTATTGAAATAATGAAATATTTAGTAATAAACTTTTATGACAGAAATATCACTAGGCTACATGTAACTTAAATCATTTAATTCCTTCATTATCAACACTGTCTAGAATGGCGATTTAAGTGTGAATTGCGACTTCTCTTTGTGTTAAGTCAGCCTCAGACTCCGATAGCCTGTGGGGGGTTGGAGGGACAGTTGCTGGACAAAGGTGTTAATGTTCCTCTTTCATATGGAGAGTGTCGGATAGCCAGCCTGATGAGCAGGCAAAATTATTGTAAGGATAAATCTGTGTCCAAATGTAGGCCCCATATCTTATTAAATTATAAATATTGTAGTTTATTTATTGTAGCCTATTTAAAGTTTTTTTTTCACACAAAATTTCAATTGAAGTTATTGTAAGGTGAATTCAACAAGGCATGCTGTGTCTTTGAAGCAACAATTAAAGGTTAAATAATTTTTTCGTGATTTGTATGGCTGACACGCAGCGACATATACAGTATTATCAGCTGTATGATGTGTTTTTACCCTGAAATGATTAATTTCGAGAGAGAGACCCGCGCGCGCAGCGAGGGAGACTAAATAAACTTGTTAAAAAGAGATCCAGCGCGAGAGAGGCAAAGAGAAACGCATGTTTTTAATTTAATTATGTTTCTTTGGACAATTTTCGTTTTGTAGGCCTACTGTTTTAATTGTTTAATTTAGCTGTAATTTCTTTGGCAATACAAATTTAAAATGTCGCAAGAATAAGATTAGCCTAGTGTTTCTTATTTTGCATCGCAAAAGAAATAAACTCTAAACAAGATGCAACCCTGTTTTAAATTAAACAATTTAAACCTTGAAATGTTCGAACTTGGTTTCAAACTTAAGTAATTTTAGTGTTCTTTTACATTACACAATAATTTAGCAGACTAAAGACGAGCTTCTTCATTTTCATTTTCTGATCGGCTGACAATCTTCATCAGTTTTTGTCGTTTGTGCAGCGGCTGCGGTTCTACAGGAATGTAGCAAATTTATGTTGTAATGATAATCAAACAAAACTCTTGACTTTAAATAAGTAAACAGATATAAACAGTTACCTATTTAAGCATCAAGGTGGGAAAATATAAACGTAGGACAACATCGGTTAACAACATCTATGCTACATTGAGATTCGATCTCGGGTCTGTTGAAGCTCCTCGAAGCTCGTGTCGTTGCGTTGATCACTGAGCTATCGTCTGTACGCTGTTAAAGTTGTAAAGCCTCGTTCATGTAGCCTAAATGTTTTTATTGCAATGTTTTATGTTGAAATGTTTTCATTATTTATTCAATTACATTTCAGTAGCCTAATTTCAGTATTGTGATTATGAATTATTTTAACTACGTTTCACTTGTTGAATTCTTCTGCTACCAGCTTTCAATCGCTCTGAATCAGCGCGGTGCGGCAGCAGAT